TGCAGATTGCACACGTCGGTCCACTTCCTTGCGGGCCGGGGATTGGCTAACCGAAGTCTCCGGTTGTGAACTTTCCAAAAAGATTCGATTGCATTGGCCTGGGCAACTCGGAGGTATTCGACCCACAGGCAAATCGTGGAACATTTTTTCTTTTTATTCAATTTATTGTCCCGTTATTTGTCTGACACAAAATCTGGCTTCAGACGTGCGAGACAACAATTTATTCATGAATAAACGTCCAGTAGCACATGATTCCGCAGAATATCGGCTTGTAGGAGGCTGCAATCTCCGACCAAGCATTCATTCGGGTAGCACCTGACCTGAGCTTTATTGCCCATACGCGCTCATTGTCCATCGGTTCATCCAGAGTTTTATTCTCCAGAATGAATACTTCAATCAGCTCATACTCTGAGTGAGCAGAAGTACCGAGAGAATTTTATTCAACGTTCGACTTCTCTGACAGTCACTCAGTTCGTTCGGGACACCGAAAAGAGACAGATATTTAGACTAGTTTGCTCGTGTTCATACAAACCATTTAGATTGTGAATAAATCGACCCACCGGAGTACCTTAACACCGATTTTATTGAACCAATGACGATTAAGGCACTGATAATAACCCACAATTTCTCACCAAAACTGGATCACGCATATTTATCTCTTCTTTCCCCGGTTCTATATAATCACTCAATATGTGAAACCCGGATATTTTTACATTTCGATGTTAGAATCATTCGTAACACTGTTTTCCGGTAAACCGTTCGTTCACTCTGTGCACCAGAGAACGGGGAAAAAAATTCCTTCAAAATACGAACAGCTTGTCGTGTTCGCAGAGAGTTGTGCACACTAGTGGACACCTGTGACGAAACACGGGAGAATATAAAATGGGATTCTGTGCATGTTCAATTATCTCCCATCGCTACTATTGACTGTTGCCAGTAGTCTAACTGGATACGGACACTCTTTCCTGATTCCTGCTTGTTACGAGCCAAGATCTCCTTACGCCTGGCAAACAACCGAAAAAAAGCCACCGACAACGGATATCCGCGATACAGTGTCAGCGATTCATGCAAATCGGCCTTCGAAGTGGAGCTCTCCGATCGTCTGTCAGTTCAACCGCCAGCCGAAGGACTCAATGAACACTGGAAGCAAATCAAGGAAGCTATGCAGATATCGATAAAAACAAAGTTGGACCCTGCCACAAGCTCAAAACACAAACAATGGATATCGTCGACCTCGGTTGCTCTGCTGGAAGCCCGCAGAACCCTTCCTCCGGATGCCACATACGATACAGCGCGCAAATCCCTTAAACGCCAGCTCATCAAGAGTCTGAGGAATGACCGCGAGAAGTGGTGGGTAGAAAAGCGTAAAGAGATGGAGAAAGCTGCGGATATTGGTAACAGTCGTAACCTTTTCCATCTAATTAGGAATACTGGTCCTAGGAAAATAGGCGTAAGTAATTAAGGAATCCGACGGCACACTGATTCACGATCAGCAACGCCATCTTGACCGTTGGACTCAACATTTCAAGGCTCAGTTCAACTGGCCTCCATCGACATCTGATCTTTCACTCTCCGCCTCGACTGCACAAATACTGCCAGTTGATGCTAGTCTTCCATCTGAAATGGAATTATCTCGGGAAATAAGTTATCTCAAAAGGTATAAGGTCTCTGGCCCAGATGGGCTGTTCCCATCAACGTTTAAGGATGGAGGCTCAGCGTTAGTCTTGGAGTTGACAAAACTCCTGGGCTCAATATGGGAAAGTGAGGAGGTTCCAGCTGAATGGTGTGAGTCGGTGATCATACCGATTAACAAGAAAGGTGATAGATCCTCTTGTGAAAATCATACAAAAATTAGTTTCATCAACATCGTCTCTAAACTTCTCGCTGGCATCATAATTCGCTGATTGTCTGCCGCACGCGACCGGTGCATGCGTGAGAACCAGGCTGGTTTTAGACCTGGTTGAGGTTGTATCGACCACATCTTCACTCTGCGCCAAATTCTGGAGCACCGGCATTCTTT